ATCCGTTTGGCGCGAGATATTGCACCGACATACATAGACAGAACGCGATGTACATATGCATGCTCAACGAGTTCCATGTCACATTCCCATGCGTTTGCCCATCCCCGCAATTGCGTCTTCAGTCGTCGGCCGTACCCTCATAGAGGATCGCCCCGTCTGGCGGCCATCTTCGCCGCTCTGGAGGCCAGAGCACCCAGGGAGCACACCAAACCCGTCAGCGTCTCCCAGAATGTGGTCCTGCGTCGCTTATGTGCCGCTTGGCCGACGTATCCCAGATAGTAGCTGGCATACCGATCGTTGTTGCCGGCAGCGCGACTCTCATAAGTGCCGCCGCCGCCACCACCGCCTCCATTGCTAGACCTGGCGCCGACGCTGGATCTGGGCTGCTGCAGGATGCTGCGACGGTACTCCTGGCCGCTGCGATCAATGCTCCGTCTGGGCGAGGAGACGCCGCTGCCACCACTGCCGTTACTGTGCCGGTGATGCTGCCGCTGCTCCTCATAGAGTTGCTGCTGCAGCTGCACGTTGCTTAGCCGTCGATCCATCATCCTAACCAGGTTCTGATGCACTCGCTGGTCCTCCTCCGGTATCGCCGCCGCCGGCAACTGACGTCGGTAATTCGGTGGTGTTGGTGACTTTGATAATTCGCGTTCCACTTGTCAAGCGTATTCAGTATCACTGGACGCTGATCGCTCGAGATGACCCTGATGACCTACCACCGAGTGATGCTGCTGATTTGGATGTTGTTGCTGTTGCTGCTGCTGCGCTTGTGCATATGCCAAGCTCTTCTGATAACTAAACAGCTGCCGCTCGAGACTGTAATTCTCTGCTTGTAGCGATACGATTTCACGTCGCATCTGTTGATTGTGTACACGACATACGTCATCGTACTTGTGGTAGGTCGCCTGAAAGAGCAGGTGACTCTCGTTCCATTCCAACCGGATCCTTAGCTGACCTTTGTCCGTAAGGTATGGACAATGATTCTCCTTTACTTCATTCATGTCCACGTTCGTCTCCATGATGATGCCTTCGTCGACGGATTCCTGAACGTAGTAGCGGCTGAATGGTTCGCCGGGTAGCCCAATCGCCGTGATATTTGGTCCCTCGCCTCTCAACAGATATGCCGACCAACTGACATACCTGTTTACATAAAAATTTTCTCAAAATTTTAGTTTCATAAACATTATCTTTTCGGTGTTTTTCAAACTTGCTGTTGATTCTAGAAAAAAATCCATCTTTATTAAGAAAAAGAAAGATAATAAAAACGAACATTCGTACAGGTCAGTACAATAATTCACAATTTCAGACAGCACTAACTGATTACAATAATTGATTGCTGATTTACAGATCAGGATTTTTCATATCTATATCGAAAAAATATTAAATTAATACAAGAAAATCTGCTATATGTTTAAAATATATAGCGTTATTCTATATCTAAATCTGATTTTGGTGAATTTTATTTCGACTTTCAATGATAAAAGTAGAATACGCACCTTAAATGATTTCTCGGCACATTATGGATGTCTTTATACACCAAATGCAGCCTGACTGTGTCAGAGTTGAGATCGGCGCGGATTGCCCAGGCCTGCTTGTCGCGATCGTAGCAAGGCGCAGCCGGCAGAACCGACGTGCCCAGCGCCTGTACCGCGACCTCGCAAATGGTCCTTGCCTCGAGCATCTCAAGCGACACACGGAGCGTACCCTTGTGCGCGATATCGGACCATCTAACCCTCGTATGCCATCCAAAGCCACAACCCTCAGCATCAGATATATCCTCGATTTGTCCGGAGTCGATTCGCCGTTCACCCTCGCCCAGAGCCAGGCTGTATCTCACCCTGCATCGATGATCGAAACCCGACAGTCTCATCAGGTAGACGCTCATGCGACTGTCCTGACCGCGGCAACCGTCTGCGTCCTTGCCATGCGGATAGATGACCAGATTCCAGTCGAAACCGCCGAACGCGAAATAGTCGGTCTCCAACTTACTCGGCTTCGTCTGACCGGCCGAGAACACCGACGTTGGCATCCTGACCTCCGTCATGTAGACCGTCCGCACATTCGCCATGGATAGCTCCAGCTGAAACTCGCCGTTCGTATCGGCGAAATTACGGCTGTAGAGATCTGCTACGGCAATGTAACTGCGGTTGCCCTGGGCCGGCGCCTCGTACGTAAACTTGACTCGTTTGCCGGAAAAGCTCTCATTCATAGAGAAGTGCTCCCGATTCAGCAGCGTAAACGTGAAATCCACGTATACGCGGAGGTTTCTTGATGCGCCACGCCATACCAAGTATACGCCCAGAACCTTAGTACATATCGGGGATAGGGACTCGTTATTTAATTTTAATTACATTGTATGTCTTTCGAGATACAATGGAAGACAGAGAGAGTTAATCTAAACGGATAGATTTTCTACGTACAATGCTGAAAAAGATCTGGTAATAACAATCAAATCTATATATAATTATTACAACTTTAGTAAAATAATTTCGCACACATAATTAAATTTTGGTTATAACCAAATCGACTAAACACAATTTTATTTTTCTAAATATTATCTTACTTTTCTTATTATTACCAAACTGTTAATTACTATTATTATTATTATTATTATTATTATTATTATTATTATTATTATCATATTTTAAAAGAAAGGAATATAAAATAAATAGGAAGTGTGGAATATGATATTTTGTATATTTTTTGTATAGATTTGCTGGAATTAATCAAAATTATTTCTTCACACAGTCTGGTTATAAGATGGTTATAAGAATTATTCATTAATGCTTACTGTGTTTTGAAATGCGTCGCAAAAGCTGCATTTCAGTTTTGCAGGTAGCAGTTTTACGGATGCATATATAATTATGAGAAGTACGTAATTGACATTAATTTTGTAACTTTAGTCTAGCTTGACTGTGGCTTTCAAATGATATAATTGAAATAAATTTAATAACAAAATGTGTCCAACGTGTAAAGTTATTATTATATGTATATTAGTTGGTGATATTTCATATCCAGCTCTCTCTCCTCTTCTAAAATCGCATTTTTTCTTCAATTATTTGTAAATTATGTTCGTTTTATATATCCAAAAAGCTTCTATAGCATAATTAATATTATTTTACGACTAATAAACATGTATCAAAAATAATTATATAACATAAATATCTATTGAATTATTTCAGTAAAACAAAATCCATAATCCAAAATCCCCTTCATTCTTCTACTTATGATTATGTTTGATAATATGTACTAAATATTGTACTATTATAATACACTAAACAAAGTACATTTGATATTACCAGATTTTTTTTCAGTAAAAAGAAAAAATTTTTACGTTCATTTCTACTGAGAATTAATTAGAAATTCATAGACTATAGGAAAGATTTCATAACTAGCAATTCTAGTTAATAAATTAATTAGAAATTCATAGACTATAGGAAAGATTTCATAACTAGCAATTCTAGTTAATAAATTAATTAGAAATTCATAGACTATAGGAAAGATTTCATAACTAGCAATTCTAGTTAATAAATTAAATAATCGGATATCACCGAAATTTCAAATTACCTTTTCCCCGCGCGAAAAAGCGACGGCCCATCTTTGAAAACCGCATACTAGTTCTTTGCTGGTGACGTCCCTCTCAGGATCGCGCACGACGGTCCTAGTGACGACGAAGGAGAAGACCCGCGTGCCACTGCGATCGTGCAGCTGCGCGAACCTATACAACAAAGCCATCACCGCATCTCGAGGGCACCGTTAACCCGATGGTCCGCGATAATTTACGAGGAGGATTCGTCTTGGTCGGTTTATAGTAATCTGTAAAATATATAATATTCTATAATTTCCTAACGACAATAATTTCTTTAACAGCTAACAATATGAACAAAGAACCTTTAAAAAACGAACTGTCGTTTCGATACTTTTTACCAATATATTTTAGATTCATATTACTTAGCATATTTCATTACAATAAAAATGTTAATTAACTTTTGCTTTGATGAAAATTTTAATAATAAATAGTCCAAAATCTCAGAATATCCTGTTGAATATTTTGTTGAATATTCTCTTTGAGATGTAAAGCGTGGCAGCCAAAAAGTTCTCGTCTGAGTTTCCTTGGAGTATTCCAGAGATCAGTTTAAGAGAGTATTCATCACAATCCGCTTTCATTTTTAAATACCATATATACAAGAGAATCCTTTGTGGCATTAATTATCCTATAATGGAGCGCGACAATGAAACAAATAGGCTCTAATGCGGGGTCTTTCCGTGAAAAAATTCAAGGAAAAATGACCTGGTTTCCCGAATAGCAAAATACCTCAAACGTTGCTTTTTCATTGTGCGGATATATGCTTTTCGGATCTCACTTCTAAATTGTACAAATAATGCTTTATGAAGAAAATAATAATCACAATTTCGTATATTTCAATAAATTATATCAATACGCTAAATATTTTTTGACATACATTGTTAATCGTTGGTGTTTCAATCCACTGAAATTTATTTATAACTAATGCTATTCTCTCTCTATTGATCTACCAATTTACAACCACGAATATGCTGGGATAAACCAAATTAGCACTTTGCGGGTTGTGTCAAATTACATTATTGTAAAGCTGCATTTTGGAATCTGCGACAGTCGCAATGTATCGTCGTTCATATTCATCTATTTTCACGTGATATGCTCCATCCATGATGATCCATCCATCAATCTGTCATTTGGATGTCACATAATGCGAGAGATAACACGAGTTTAATAAATCATCCATGTGATTAATAAAATTTAATAACGCAAAAGAAGCAATCATGTGAAAACACAAGTCTCGCGGTTTTTTCGCGCACATCAAAAGAATTTATCGTCTAGAAGAAAAAAACGTAGGATCCTAATAATTTTTCATTAATTATTACTATTTTTATGGAAATATTAGTTTTTGCTATCGTATTGTGTATGTCTAACAAAAAGTATTACTTTCTCTCTGCTTAGAAACATTCAATAGATCATCATGTCGATGACATTGAAGGAGGAAGAACCTCCCGAAATTTACAGGGAAGCTATACTTTATCGTGAATGGGGCTATCAACTGATTGCTCTGGGAAGATGTTTCTTGGCCATAGATTATTTCGAAAAATCGTCCAAATCAGCCAAGATCGAGAACCTAAGAACGTTAATCGGTCTCTACAAAGCGCTCATCAAGTGCACGAAATATTTCGCGGCGGAAAAATTGTCAGAGAAATGTATGATAACAGGTATGATTACAAGAAATTATAGAATCTAAAATTAAAAACGTAATTAGATATTAAAAATACTTTTTCAGCACCTTCATAATATGCAAATAAATATTATTGTAATTATCTTAGTTATTAACTGTTCCGCCTCACTCTATTTTTACTATTTTATCTACAATAATAACACGCCTTTTGTTTATTTATGGCTATTTTCTTAAAATTCACTTCGTTTCATGTTTTCAGCCTATGTGATAGTAAAAAAGCATGTAAAGTTACATAAATAATACATATAAAAATTACTTTAATAAAAATATATTTTTATATAATAAAAATATACTTTTGCAAATTGTTTAATTAATATAAAAAAGAATAATTTTATTTGTAAATTATAACTTTACTTACAAGTGTAAATATACATCTAATAAGTTCCAAAATTACATTATAATTGTTGTAGTTTTTTACAGTGTATATTACAAATAACTTAAATAAGGATAAAAATTTATCCTGTAAAAAATCGTGCTGTATAAACGTTAGTCTCTTAAGGGACGTCGATCAATGATGTATGTTTCAATAATCATCTGTTGCTCTATATAATTTCATAAAAAATTTCATAAAAAAAGAAGAAAAAATAGCAGAAGAAAAAGTATTTTGATTGATTTCTACATTCGTGCATCATCGTTTCACTCTCCACAGATCCTGGCCATTATAAAGTGCGGCAGATGCGAATGGAGGCGCTTTTCCAGATCGGTGAGTTCAGTCACAGTCTGGTTCACGCCTACGAGGGTATGCGGCGGCACGGGATGACTTTTGAGCACGGCGTCTATCAGGCAAACGAGACCATCGAAGATTGCATCGGGCGGAACACGTCGCCCATCGCGCTGCTGCTGCTCTACCCGTGGATACGGCATCTGTGGAAGCACCGTGAACTCCTACTCGGCAAGCTCGAGGAGGAGGAAGACGAGCTTGCAGGTGCATATCGCGATTCGAAATGAGCAAATAATCGTACTCGCTCGCGATATCAGTTCTCGAGCGAGTACTCAACGAGTACTTGAGAGTGAAGACGAGAGAACAGTCGACATAGTCTCACTTCTCAGGAATAGTGCTCACTGACTTTTACGAGATGAAATTCAATTTTCATGATGGTAAAGCAAGAAAATATCTGGATTCTTATCGGACCTCGCTTTACCCCGAAGCGAAGTCAAGTAACTGTGATATAAGTATTTCTCAGTGGTATGACCGAGAAATCGTCACGTTTCTCTCAACATCTATCAGAAAATATTACTACTATGGACATTATTTGAAATAAGAAAAAATTTTGAAAATAAAATAATAAATCTCCGTCGGCTAATTAAGGTACAGTCAATCTTTGATTGTGAATTCTGATAAATAAATTTATATCTGTAAAAAAATAAATAAAATGCGGAATGGGTCACAGAAATTTGTAAAATATACTAACTCTAATGTATATTCAAATAAATTCCATTTTCTATTATGCAAGAAATTAATATTTAAGTTATATTTCATATTATTTAATTTTTTAAATTGTCAGGTTTTCATCGCCTTTTCAACAACTTCTATAATAGTAACTTCTATAATAGTAAAAACTCATTAAAATTTTCACAAGTATACAAGAATTTTTTCAAATTTTTACACAGTTTGGAACAATATAAAAATCTGAATTGAAATTCAAAGATCCACATTGATAACGGAAGATGCAAATAGTCGACAAAGAGAAAATAATAATAAAAAATAATGCTTGTATAATCACTTCGAAATTGCTTCAATAATCTGACGTGTCCAAAGATCAGTTTTATGATCGCAGGTATTGCGGAGGGCGAGGTGAGATTCAAAGTGAACGATCCTGAAGTGCAACAGCAGGCGCGAATGAAACGACTGCATCGCATTATAGCGAAAATAAATATGGGTTACTTGATAATCGATAAGGATTTTCTTGAGAAGATTGTAAATCGGCCGGAGACCGTGGCTTCACCAAGCAAAAGGTCGATTACCGAACTGCTTACCCTCGTGAATACGTGCTACCGTAATGTGATGTACTTGCAGGATCTTCTGCGTATGAGACGGCCGTTCTATATTACCTTCTTTCGACGACGCAAGATTCCGAAGGGACACAGAATAATGCTAAAACAGGAGCGAAAATTGCGAAAGAACATCGTTATCATAAAGGCGGATTTTCTTTTGCGCCTCTTACAAACCGCGAGAATCAACAAGGATTACTTGACCTTCTTCAAGTCAGTAACGCACGGGAAGAACAGTTTTGCTAAAATATCTAAAAATTTAGTTAGATACAAATTTGGAAATAATTAGATTATTAAAGTAATTATGTGAGATGCCCAAATTGATTATTAGACGGATTGTATGATTCCTTTAATTATTTTGCATATAAAAGTATTAAAGTAGAATTATCAAAAAATTAATAGTTTAATTACATATGAGATATTTTATACTCTATTCTGGCAATTTACTTTTTTATCGCTATATTTTATTCAATTAATGTAAAAAAAAACGTAAATAAATTATTTTTCAGAAGAGATATTTCATATTGTAAATTGCACATTTTTTTTTAAAAGAAATTATGTGTTTTCTTACTAATTCACTAATTCATTCAATTTATTCTTGTGCACAAAATAATACTTATTAACATTACCAAAAAAATAATAGACATACATTTACGGAATAATTTATATTTCATGTCAAAATGTGCCAATATGTCCAATGTTTCAAGGAGTATATCTCTGAATAGCATCGACTTAGAGGATCGTGTTTATAGAACATTTTATCTTTTATTTTAATTAAGTTTTATTAATTAAATTTCATGTATATATATATATATA